CTTCATCGAGCCTCCCTACATAAAATGAGACTACATGTTGAAAGTTGGCACAATTTTATGAAATTTTGCTATATTTCTTTAGTTTATTTAATTTCTTTGAATTTTTTTGACAAATGCAAATTTGAACTGCAAGTGTGTCGAATAATGGCAATTCATGAATGCAAAAATGATATTCATGTTAGTAAGTGTTAGTTGAGGCCGTATCCAGAAACAGACCAAAAATTTCACATATCTTCACGTCGAGACATGACCACGAACTTGTGAGCAAATAGTTTTTAAATTCTATTAAATGAAAACGGAGTCTGAAATTCATGAAACTTGTCGACAAGTCAAGATATCGCATGCGGGTGCCATGTATGATGCTTAGAAACCCTAATATCTCCTGTGCTCGAAATCTTTTTAAATTTTTATCATGGCACCCGCATGCGATATCTTGACTTGTCGACAAGTTTCATGAATTTCAGACTCCATTTTCATTTAATAGAATTTAAAAACTATTTGCTCGCAAGTTCGCGGTCATGTCTCGACGTGAAGATGTGTGAAATTTTTGGTCTGTTTCTGGATACGGCCTCAACTAACACTTACTAACATGAATATCATTTTTGCATTCATGAATTGCCATTATTCGACACACTTGCAGTTCAAATTTGCATTTGTCAAAAAAATTCAAAGAAATTAAATAAACTAAAGAAATATAGCAAAATTTCATAAAATTGTGCCAACTTTCAACATGTTGGTCAAGGTATAGTAGGAAAGCTACGTAAAAAAATTGGAAGCTAAAATCAAAAAAAAAAAATATTTTGCCTAGTGTCTCTGAAGACACTAGGCAAATCGCCGCCGCTTGCCTAGTGTCGTCTGGAGACACTAGGCAAAGTTCTAATTTTGCCAAGTGTTAACGGAAGACACTCGGCAAAATGGTAACGGCGGTTGCCCTCCGGCAGCCTTTGCCGAGTGTGATGGTATGCCTAGTATTGACACTAGGCAAAATGGTCATTTACCGAGTGGATTTCTTTGCCTAGTGTCGACACTCGGCAAATCGTTATTTTTCCTAGTGCCTTTATTTTGCCGAGTGCTCCGGGTCTAACACTCGGCAAACAAGCTATTTGCCTAGTGTCCGACGATTGGCACTAAGCAAACCATTAAACACTAGGCAAATCTCGGTTTTCCAGTAGTGAAAGTTGCCATCTGTGTATTGTTTCATGAAGTTGCTATGCAACGTCACCTGAAGTTGTAACCAACTCCATATATAGTTAGTAGCAGGTATATTGGTCCTATTTCACAAGGCTTAGGCCCTCTTTGGATCTATGTGATTAATAATTAGTTGACTAGCTTTTAGTCCATAAAATGATCCAAACAGGTGGGTTAATAGATGGACTAATCTTTAGCTAAGCCCCTAACAAATTGTTAGTCCACTAGTTGGCAAAACCCAACTAATTGAGACTAATAGGGGAGGCTTTGTAAACAAGCTGCTGTAAAATTCGCTAGTGAATCTTGTAGGAGTTGAGGGTGACCGGAATTGAAGGTGGAGGCTCACCCAAAAGGGGTGGCGACGGTTGAGCAGAGGTGTTGGCGATAAACGGACTTTGCATGGGTGTCCTTGGAGCGGCTGGCATGGTGCTTTTGTCGGCAAATGGAGTGGCAGATGCAGACAGGGATGATAGGGGGGCTTGTTCCTTACTCTCTTTTCTGCTCCTATGATTTTTTCTCATTCCTTTCTTCTTCCTACCTCTTCCCTTTCCAAAAAAATAGAGGGGCCCTATTGTGTGGGAGGTGGTTGGGAGGGGGGGGGGGTTCAGCCCCATCCGTCCCACCACTGGATCCGCCCCTGGTGACTTGATTTTGTATACCATGTAATTATACAAAATTTTGAAATAAACTAAAAATTTAAGATCTAAATACCAAACATGAAATTGAACGCCTGACTGACACCTCTAGTAGCACTTTACTATGTGCGCCTGGTTTTCATTTGTCTTAGACTCCAACCTAATTATTTTTTGTATGTGGTAGTTGTTATAAATTTAGTGAAACTTTGGATAATTCGATGTAAGACAAATTCAGAAATGCTTACACTTGTGAACAAAAAGAATATTTCACTAGAACCTCTTTTTGCTTAGAATGAAACATTGCAGATCGGATATTTTTTTGCCAAAAGAATCTGTTGGCCCTGATCTTCCATAATATTTTATCTCCCTACATAGAACATTTTGTTTCATAGCCGGAAGATGCTTTTCTTACACAGGAATATTGCATTTTCCCAAAAAATAGACATGTTATAATAGTGTCTCTCTTAAAAAATATGTGCAATAATAATAATCTAAGAAACCTAAAACGGTTATTTGGCAAAAAACAAGAACCCAGAACAACTACCACCAAATCTTTTTGTCCGTTGCGTGTAGGGATGAAAACAGATAGAAACGGTTGAAAAATCCTTGAATGTTTTTCTACTTCTACATTTGAATATGAAAACGAAAGTGGTAACCGGACACAAAAATGAACATGAACTTATGGAATATAGAGAATTTCGAAAACGAACTAATTCGAGCGGAATTATGTCGAACGTACCAACCCATATGACCAAGTGCATAGCAATTGACAAGTGCTGACCAAGTGCATAAGAATAATTAACAAGTGTATAACACTTAGTCTTAAGTCTTAACACAATCGTCGACGCACAGATACTGGAACTGGAAGTCCAGAACAAGCAATTAAGTAGTGACTAAAACTAGGATAAGAGTAGAGGACAGGAAAGTACCTCTAGTAACTCTAGGTTTAGATTGGGTTGGGTTGTGCGCCAGTGCCTTAACCCTTGAGTAGTTGAGTTGGACTTCCAGTGGGCAAAACATCATATACCGCATTTCAAAAACGGGATATCTAGGAAAAAATTAGAAAAGTAGAAAACGATCGTGATAACACCTAAACCGTTTCCATCCCGATTTTGAATTTAGTATACCATATTTCGTATTGATTGTAGATTTGTCCGAAAATACGAATTTGCAGAAAATAATACCCAGACGGTATGGGATATTCCCGACCGTTTTCATCCCTAGTTGTGTGCACATACATAGCTGACGTGTGTAACGCATGCAAGCAGTTCATTCGACTCGTCCGAATTCCGAAATGAAGGGAGGAGAGGGCCACGCTAGAGAACAGAACGAAATGGGGGACGGGTGGCGCATTATTCTTGTCCCGGCAAGATCCTGAGCTGAGATCACGCACCACCCCTGTCACTCTAAATCAAGCAGCACTCGCTTGACCAAGTCTATGCGGCGCATAGCCCGCCCGCGCCCTATGCTTGCTCCGGAGCTCTCGTTCCCTGCCGCGGCTTCTCCGTAGCCATCACTTATTATCCCCAATCCTAGCTTCGTCTATTTACTCACTTACCCGATCGGAGGAGAGAAGCGATTGGGATTGCATTGGGGGCGAGTTCGTGCGTGCGTGCAGCCACAGGCGTCGGCACCATGTCTTTCACCGGCACGCAGGACAAGTGCACGGCGTGCGACAAGACCGTCCATTTCATCGACCTCCTCACCGCCGACGGCGTCACCTACCATAAGACATGCTTCAAGTGCAGCCACTGCAAAGGGATCCTCTCGGTACGTGCGTGCATGCATAGAAAAATGATCGGATTTGTTGCATCCAATCTCTGCAAGATACAAAAAAATAAGAGTTTCTGACGCTGATGATGCATTGGCCATCTGCAGATGTGCAGCTACTCTTCCATGGACGGTGTGCTGTACTGCAAGACCCACTTCGAGCAGCTCTTCAAGGAGACCGGGAGCTTCTCCAAGAAGTTCTCGCCAGGTAATGCAACACCACGACGTGATCTTCAGTTGCCACAGCAATTCTGTTTAATTTGTCGTGCCGGAAAGAACATTATGCTGAAAGCTTTGTTGTGTAATTCAGGTTGCAAATCTTCAGAGAAGGGTGAACTGGTACAGCTAGCCTCACAAAACTAGTATCATCATGATTGCTTTTGGAATGTCTTTGTTTATTGTTGTAACTGGATCAATGTTTCCAATGCAAATTGGAATCCCTTTGCACTTTGCAGTCAAGGGCCCCAAGCAAGCTATCATCTGCATTTTCTGGTACTCAGGATAAGTGTGCAGCATGCCAGAAAACAGTGTACCCGCTGGAGAAGGTACAGAAATGATGATATTTTTTCTTAGTATATACTTCCCAAGACCAAATAATGCCAAGTTTCTACGCCTCCTTTGGCAAATGACAGCGTAATGCATGCCAACAAAATTGTTCTGTTGTTCAGTTAACTTTGGAAGGCGAGTCCTACCACAAGAGCTGCTTCAAGTGCTCACACGGGGGCTGCATCCTGACCACCTCCTCCTACGCCGCGCTCAACGGCGTCTTGTACTGCAAGATCCACTTCGCTCAGCTGTTCATGGAGAAGGGGAGCTATAACCACATGAAGAAGAAGAGCACGTCCCAGGAGGTGCTGCCGGACGTGGCTGCCGAGGAGCAACCGCCAGAACCAGCGCCACCGCAAGATGAGAAAGGAGAGGACAACTAGTAGCAAGCGATGATCCATATATATCATGCAGACAGAAGTTTGCGTTTGCCATTTTTCTTTACGACGCTTCATTATTCTCTCCTCTTTTTCTTTCTTTCTTAATGTCTCTGTGAACTCGGTTTGTCATCAAGCTGTAAGTGTACCAGATGCCCTCGTTACGTCTGAGGCTCATGACAATGGCAATTTTGGCATGGAGCTGTGTTAGCCTCGCGGAAAAATTGTAACTTTGTAAGCAGAACTACTACTTTGAATATATGATCCTAACAATGTTGTCCTTAATCCTTATAAGCAGTGTTTTAATGCTTCCCTGGGGAACTGTTTTCTACTTATCATCGATTGAAGAGTGACATTAGAAAAAGGAAATCACAGGGCTCTGAAGAGAAAACGGTGCAGTTGTTCTATGACATAGTTCAAGCATGATGCCACCACATCCACATTCGTTACATCACAGAGTATGTGAGTAACAACCCTTCAAGAGTTACACAAAGGGTGCTTCTTCTGTGCGGAAGAAGAACACGCCAGTCGGGCCTCCTTCCGGCAATAGCGCCACCGCAACGATGCAACTGGCACCGTCTTCCGCGGTGTATTCGCCGGTGTCAAAGTTGATGTCAGTCTTGCAATAGCCAGGGTGCACGCTGTTGATGCGCAATTTCGGGAGCGCCTTCGCCAGTATCCTGGTATAGCCATTGGTCAGAGCCTTGGATACCTTGTAGGCCAGGTACTCGGAATCGGCAGGCCATCCATGAGATTTCAGCTGGCCACTCTTGTAGTCTTTCAGGAACAACTCCGACATCTCATCTAGCCTCTCTACCGTCAGGTTGTCAATATCGTTTAGCTCTTGCTTAAGATCTTCGCCACTGAAATACTGGAAAACAAAGAAGAAGAATTGGATAACGAAAATTGTAAACCTTCTGAGGGTTAGTGAAAAGACAGATTAATCTGTATGATTGTTCCGAACTTCAGATAGGTATATATACCTGGAGTAGTCCGTAGTTGGATGACACGTTGATGAGCCGTCCGTCAGAGGAGGACAGAAGGATTGGGAGGAGTGCTTCGGTCACATATTTGGTGCCGAAGTAGTTTATTTTCAGGCATTCTCTTGCTTCCTCATAACTCTCCGTGGAGTGCTGCAGCAACCAGTGTAGCCTGTCCATGGCGTTCTTGCCTACGAGCTGTTTGATGCACCGGGTTAAGCCTAGTTTACCACTTCAGCTCAAGGGACCAAGAAAAGGAAAACTACAAAGAGACCACTGCTACTGCAAGTTGCAATCTTGCAGATACATAGTAGTGTCTTTTTAGTAGAGAGGCCGTGACGCTACCATTAAATTGTGAACAATGATCTTCGAGAATTCAAAGGACTTACCTCTTCCTTAATTGATGTTGTATCAATCTCTGCACTTGCACTTGCACCTATAACCCCTGCATTATTGATCTGCACAGTTACTAGCGTCAGGTCGAGTCCATACTTCGTACACAAAGCAAAAAGTCCAAGACTAAACTGGGACAATATATCTAGATATAGTAGATTAAGGGTCCGTGAGCCGTGAAAAAGATGTAAGCTGTTGAAAAGCTACTGTGAGCTATATGCTCTGAACAAGTTGTAAACTGTTTGGTTGAAACAACTAAAAAATCTACCCTCTCTCTTTAGTTCCCTTGAAACAGCTGTAAAACGTCTCTCAATTTTCACCAATTTAAAAAAACTAAAAGCTAAAAGCCAAAAATAGGGTCCAAGATGCTTCGAAATTTAGCGTTTTGTGGCAACAGAGACACTTTCCAGAAGTTTGGACCAAACACAGCCTAAGATCATTTGTTATGGACCTAAACCTGTAAGTGTGTTACAAATGTTTGACAACTGGTTTGGGGAAAACAAAAACTTGAAGCCATTTGTACTGGTTTGGTTAGCCGAGTAGGAGGCCAACAGGAATGGGTGGTGGTAAAAAAAAAAATAGGAGGCCAATAAATTTGGAAAGTCCAGTAGAGGGTCTGCTGGAGTTGGTGGCCTCCACTACCTAAATTGGAGATAGGAGGTCATTTAAGTATTGGAGATGCTCTAAGTAATGTACTTGTATGTAATTTTTCACAAGACTCAGCAATAGATTGACCATATTAAATCAATTCTAATATTTCTGAAAAAAAAAGATCTCACCAGGATATCTAGCCTGCCAAACTTCTCCTTGATAAATTCAGCCAGACGGGCAGTGTCAGTTGTATCACTGACATCCAGGCGGTGAAACTGTACATTAGGTAGTCCGGATCCATGAAGCATACCCACTGCTTGTGATCCTTTTTTCTCGTCCCTCGCCGTTAGGATCACCATGACGCCCCTGGAGGCTAGCTGCCTGCATACTTCCAGCCCAATTCCTTTGTTCCCTCCGGTGACAACAGCAACCCTGAAAACAAATCCACACAAAATTGAGTTGTTAATACCTATTCGTAATCTCGTACACACGAACAAAAAATCTAATGAGCATGGATGCCTTTTATCAGAAGGGTCAGGGCAGGTGCTTCTTTCCATCAGCAACCCTTAATACTGCAGCAAGGCTAGAGGGAAGACAGGCAGCTTGCTAATTGGGCTTTGGCAAAGGATTAGCGTGCATTCTCCAATATTCCAATGCCGATTGCCGAGTGGGAGTGGAGACAGGTATTAAAGGCTGAAATTGCAATGTCTGTTGCATTATCCTTCCAAGGCCGGCTGATTTGTTTATACGAAGATTGATGTAACCTTGGACTTGTTTATACGAAGCTTGACGTAACCCTGGCCATAAAAGTCCAGTCGTTACTAGAGTCAGCAGAAAAGCAACAACTTGTCACAATTTTCTTGGCTCGTCTCCGGTGTGGCAGAGGCAGCACGGCGGAGGCAGACTCCAATGACCCCGTTCGCTTGTCTTAAATTTGGTTTGTTCAGCAATTCTTTTTTTTTCAGAATTGAGATGTTTTCTTAATCTCTCACAACGTCACAACAATTTTGTAATGTGGTTTCCTGCAATGCCAGTTGTTAGTTGTGCACCAGCAGAAAAGCAACAACTTGTATGCAACAGGGGCCAATATTCCAATGCTAGAGTGCCACACGTACTAAGTTGACGATCAGAGCATTATTGTTGCAGAGAATTATGAAAGCACCTAACGTCTTTAGGGTTGGTGTGTGTACGTGGTTAGCCTGCAGTGTAGTGGTTAGCGTGTGTGTACGTGGCATGCATAGTGTACGTGTCACGTGTGATAATGTTAGCCAACATTACGACAGAACACAATTTAGTAACGTGCCATGTGCATGTAATTCATTGACTACAATTAATAATGTTAACCAATTGTGTCTTGGAACATGCATGACACAAAATCAAAGTGAGATTTGTTTTTTACTAGGGGAGTAACCACTTTTAATATAAATATATATATGTTCATAGAGATAAGAGAAGAACAAAAATTGGCGTTGAATTGACGCTGAGGTAATAATTAGATACCACATAATGTCTACACGAGGAGAAAGGAGGATTGAGAAAGATTTGTTTCTCCTGTGACCCGTGATTAAGGGAATCGGAGGGATTTGTTTTTCTTTTTCTATAAATTGATAATTTCATTAATTAATTCATAAAATACAAAAAATCAACGGCTTAGATGTATTTGAGATATTACCTCCTAACAGAGTAGCAGGTAAAGGGAGGTAAAGGGAGTATTGCCCTTACCTTTTTTTTTTTCCTTTTGTTAACCTAGACAATATTTTTTTTCATTTCTATGGCATTTGCCACCATGAACATTTCAGATGACCAAACATAGTTCAGGTAATCAGAGATCCACATGTAAACAAATGCCAGGGATTCTATTTTTTTCAGTTCTCAAGACAACACAGAAGCTTCCAATGTGGTGCAGTTATTCTATAACATAGTTCAAGCTTGATGCCACCACATTACTGAGTAAGTGAGTAGCCCTTCAAAAGTTACACAAAGGGTGCTTCTTCTGTGCGGGAGAAGAACATGCCAGTTGGGCCTTCTTCCGGCAATAGCGCCACCGCAACAATGCAACTGGCACCATCCTCCGCGGTGTATTCGCCAGTGTCAAAGTTGATGTCAGTCTTGCAAAAGCCAGGGTGCACGCTGTTGATGCGCAATTCCGGGCGCGCCTTCGCCAGTATCCTGGAATAGCCATTGGTCAGAGCCTTGGATACCTTGTAGGCCAGGCACCCAGAATCAGCAGGCCATCCATGAGATTTCAGCTGGTCGTTCTTGTAGTCTTTCAGGAACAAACCTGGCATCTCGTCTAGCCTCTCTACCGTCAGGTTGTCAATATCGTTTAGCTCTTGCTTAAGGTCCTCACCACTGAAATACTGCAGGAGAAGGTTTAGTACATGAGAAAAGACCTACTAGTCTGTATGATTGTTCAGAACTTCAGATAAGTATACCCGGAGTAGTCCGTAGGTGGATGACACGTTGATGAGCCGTCCGTTAGAAAAGGATAGAAGAGGGAGGAGAGCTTCGGTCACATATTTGGTGCCGAAGTAGTTTATTTTCAGACATTCTCTTGCTTCCTCATAACTCTCCGTGGAGTGCTGCACCAACCATTGTAGCCTCTCCGTCGTGCTCTTGCCTGCCAGCTATTCGATGCGCTGGGTTAAGCCTAGTTTCCCACTTCAGCTCAAGGGACCAAGAAAAGGGAAACTACAAAGGGATCATGCTGCTGCAAGTAGCAATCTCCAAGAAGTCAAAGGACTTACTAGTTCCTGAATTGTTGTTGTGGTACCAATCTCTGCAGTTGTAGTTACACCTATAACCCCTGCATTATTGATCTGCGGAGGTACCAGCATCAGGTTGCTTGAGTGAGTCCATACTCCATGCAAAGCAAGGTGTATGTGATATGAGTTACTATTCAGAAAGTTAGAAGAAGTTCACCAGTATGTCGAGCCTACCAAACTTCTCTTGGATAAATTCAGCCAGACGGGCAGCGTCAGTTGGATCACTGACGTCCAGCCGGTGAAACTGTACATCAGGTAGTCCGGATCCATGAAGCATCTCCACTGCTTCTGATCCCTTTTTCTCGTCCCTCGCCGTCAGGATCACCATGACACCCCTGGAAGCTAGCTGCCTGCATACCTCAAGCCCAATTCCTTTGTTCCCTCCGGTGACAACAGCAACCCTGAAAAAAATCCGCACGAAATTGAGATGTGAATACTGATTCGTAACTCGTACACACGAACAAAAAGCTAATCTGGTTGGATGCCTTTTATCAGAAGGGTCGGGGCAGGCGCTTGTTTCCATCAGCAACATCTATCAGACCTTCTGTACTGGAGCAAGGCTAGCGGGAAGACCGATGGCAAAGGATTAGCGTTAATTCATCCCATGCGCTATATTTAAGTTTGTGGTGGAGGCAGGCTCCAATGTAAGTTGACGAGCACCTGAGCATTTTTTTTGAAGGAATAGCTTCAGAGCATTATTCCATATCTCTAGCGTTGGTTGATGAACCAGATTCCAGTAGTATCTGTCAGTGCCTACATTAGATTAGATGATAAGAAATAACACAGGCAAACTGATCTGCCATACGACGGTGAGCTGAAATTGCAATCTACTGTATGTTGCATTATTCTTCCCAGCCGGCTGATATTTCTTTATACGAAGCTTGATGGAGGCCTGCCGCCTGCGCCTGAATCGTTCAAAACGCCCACGATGAGCAATCATGATTTGGCGCCGGTGGCCTTCTTGCAGGCTAGTGATGTAACCCTGACCATAGAAAGTCGTCACTTTTGAGGCCGAGGCAGCATGAAAGCAACTGCCTGTCACAATTTTCATGGCCTCTCCTCGGTGTGGTTCTGCCTTCGCCGCCACCACAGCCACCGGCGACGGTGACTCGCCGAGAATGTCTCTCGATCAGCCTCGGCCCGTGTGACCTAGTCAATTTGCAACCAAGTATGTTTTTTCAAAAAAATTAGATCTAAACAAATATTAGCATGATTTATGACTACAAATCTATTGAGTAGAAGAATTTACAACATAAACCATAGAAAATATGAGTCTAGAGTTACATAACACATATGTTAGTGTGTTACAAAATTTCAGTTTTTTCTTTTGGCCACCACCAAAATTAATTCACAAAATTTCGGTCAAATTTTGCCGAAATTTGAACCTTGATCATAAGTATAATGCTAACTAAATGTGATTATATAATATGCGCTTTTTTTAACAGAAAACCATCTTCTACAAGCAACTATAGGTTTGTTTAATTTCATTCTTTAAACCGTTTTTTAAATCACAAAAGTACTTAAATATACAGGGACACAAGTATATCCTTCTTAACTGGCCGGTGCCATTTGTTGGCTCGTAGCTGTCGATGTGATGCATCACACATAACATTGATCAGCCAGCGGTAGTCGTTGCGAAAAAAAAAAGAAAAAAAAAGGCAGCAGTAGTCAGAGCAACTCAAGAAAAAAAAAAGATAAACCCAGTGCCGGAGGCTCCCACATGAGTGGGATCTAGGAAAGGAAAAAACCAAAAACCTTTCCCCCGCAAATCTGTAGAGAGACTGCTTCGAACCCACGACCTGGTGACTCAGTAAGACAGTCAAAGCAACTCAAGAGAGCAGCTAAAAATAGACCACGAAAATCATGATTTATCCATTCTCTAAAATAGATACCCCTAAAAAAGACTACTTCAACCGTCTCCAATTTGGCACTTTTTAATATTTAAAACTATGTGAACACTAAATTGAACTCAGGCCACACTTGCTCGCCGCCCACGAAGGAGGCAGCCACGAAAGCGCGCGTCCACTACTACATATCTCATTTTTGCATCACAGTTTTCACTGCTAGATTGTTTAGAATCGATGCTGATAGGTTTTATCACGCTAGTTCAAAGGACGGCAGGTCACAGTGGAAAGAGAAACCGGCAGCGAAAATTGTTTTCACCACCAAGTCGGCGGATGATCGATCCAGTGGTGAAAATCGTGGTGGTTATCACCGCCGGATCATAAGGCGAGCCAGTGGTGAAATTTTTTTTGCTAGGTATCTTTGGTTGAGGGGGACTCCGGCTTCATCTGAGGGGGAGTTCATCTTCATCTGAGGGGGAGTTGGTTCGATTTGGTGCTTTCATTGTGTTTGGTTCCAACCTTCTCCTTGCGGGTTTAACTTGTCCTCTATTTTTGTCAAGGAGATTTCTTTGGTATCATTTGTTCTATCCTTTCAAGTGGTATCATATTTTGGTTGTTCAATTGGTATCGTTTATATGTTACTCAATTGGACCCCTTTTGATTAATTTCAATGATTTGTTTGAACCTTCCTAAGTGCTTCTTGATCTTGAGTTCAATCCTGTCTTTTTTAGCATTGCATTTGCATCATGTATCATATGAGCATCTTGCATGTAGTTGAGTTTCCTTATATATCCTTAGCATTTTGTTGTGCTAACTATCTTCTTAATGGAAAACATGTTTATGCATGGTCGTGAAAAAAAGCTTTTCTTGTGCCAAGAGTGAATGTGTGCTTTCGGTAAAAAGAAAGAAAGAAAACTAGCCTTTCTAGTTATACTAGTAAATATGCCCGTGCGTTGCAACGGGAGAAAAAAAAAAAAAAGCTACTGAATCTTCATAGAAAATGATATGATGAATATAACATCCATAATATAAGTTAACATCGGTAATAATATAATAATGCCCAATGAGTCTATATCAGTTTTAAAATAATATCTCGACAGTTTTTCATCCCGTTGCAAAGCACATAGAAATATTTAATCGTATATAAATATATCATAAATTTTTATTTCATAGTATATATGCATTGATACGGTTAAACATTGAGTTAACGACTTTCTTTGTGGACCCATAAAAATAAAATTATAATATCTTAATAAAGTCCGTCAAGGTGTTAGTAGCTTAAGGGCTCGCCCGTGCGTTGCAATGGAAAAACATGAAAGATATACTATAGGTAAGTTGTAGGGCATTTTTTCTAAGAAAAACGATGTTTTGGAACTTTCTCTATACATCACAGAGACTCTGACATTTTCTCGTGTAAAAATAGAAAAGAGCAGGGGGATTCTCGCAAACCAACGCCGGCTGACTGGCGGTCTCCTTGTTGACTAGCGCCGTTGAGTCTAGTCAACAACCAATCCTAGTCCTCCATCTCAGATCCAGTACCCGAAACGAGCTCCCTCTTTCCCTGTGTCTCGAAGCTTCTAGAACACAGCCATGGATGCAGCACAACAAGAAAGCGATCTCTCGTCTTGAGGTTCTCCTCGGCACGTGCAAATGGGCTCTGTAGCACCGCAACGTCATCGCGAGTTCAATGGCGTGTTGCTGGTGGCCGAAAAGCGACGTCGGCGGCGTTCCACGGCGAACAAGAAGACGGTGGCGACCATTTCTTGAACAGCGCACGCAAACTCAAAAGAGAGGGAAAGAGAAGGCCTGACATAGCTCTGGGGTTCTCCTCACCTCGCCGTGGGCTCCTCTGCACGATTGGTGCCGATGGGAAGGCGGCATGCGATGTAGAGAGTTGTAGTCGTCTGGGAGCACAACGATCTGCCCCACAGACGGGTTGCAGAGGTAGTACATCCTCGCGGCCGTCGCGCGTAGGAGGAGGACGCCGCGGCACATGTGGGTGACGCCGTGTACTTTGCCGCTGCGACTGTTGTGCGGGACGGTCATGAGCGGCGTGAAGACGCCCTTCCCGAGCTCCAGCGACCACGCGTACACCGTCGACGCGGCGGCCGAGCGCGGCAGGATGCAGAGCCTAGGAACTTCGCGGTGGCGATTGTGGCAAAGTTGAAGTGTCTGTCGACAAAAGGCGTCTGAAAGATAGTGTGGTGGCCCAGGCGTGGGAAAGGCAGCGGCACCGGAGCACAGACTTGACTGGCATGCACGCAAAGTTGCCCTCAATGACCTCTTAGGGGAGATCTTGGCGCGAAGGTGCCGTTGCCATCTCCTCGATTGCTTCCGTTGTGCCGGCCGTGTAATGGTTGATGCGGGAAATATCGGTTACAATTGAATGCCCAATTCCACTACATCTAGCGTTCACCCATCTGGAGCCGAGCGAACGATGATCCGACCACGCCTCTCCCTCCCTGCCGTTTTCCAGGCTGACATCATAAAAAAAAAAGCAAAACATTTTATTTTAAAAATGCTATAACTTTTGAACGGTGTATCCATTTTCAATTCCGTCTGCACCGGTGTATTCTACGCGATGAGACATAAAACTAGACCCCACTTGCTTTCTAAGATTTTTTTGGTAGCAATTTATGTATATTAACTTGTAACATATAACTAGTATTCTATAACTTATAACTTATAACTTATACACGCAAGTTGTATCTAATAACTTTTGTACATAAGTTGTGTTTTCGTAACTTTTGTGTCTCTAAGTTTTGGTATAAGTTATAAGTTAATTCGTTACTTTGTGTGTTAATAATTTATGTTCGCAAGTCTGGCATAAGTTATAAGTTAATTCGTTCATTTGTGTTTAATAACTTTTTTGTAAATAAGTTGTGTTTCATACTCTTGAGTTTTCAATTTTTTCACATAAGTTATATGTATAAGTTAGTGCATATAAGTTTTTTTACATAAGTTATATGTTATAAGTTATACATATAAGTTGCTATAAGAAAAAATTCTTCGAAACATATGTAACTTGGGTCTAGTTTTGTTCGCCTCATCATGTAGAATACACCGGTGCAGACAAACTAAAAATTGATACATCGTTCAGAAATAATAATTTAAAATAAATATTTGTTTTTTTCACGCTGTCACATCACAGCCATGCAGCAGGTGCAGAAGTGCACCGCGCGCTGCTGAGAGGCAAACAGCACACGCCTAGCTACTGTCCAAATAAGGTAGCAGTGGGGATTTATTTTTTCATAAAAGGAAATTATCGATGTCCGAAAATTATTCGCTCATTTGAGATCGAGTGAGCGTTCGTTGATTAGCCACGCCGAATTGAACGAGGAAAGGAGATGGGTGACAAATGCTTAAACAAACTTCGTATCAATGGGTGTAGAGTGGGTGTACCGAGAGAGGGCAATTATATAGCAAATTAACATGACTCTTTACAAAAACTATTTTTCAAGTAAAAAGACTCCAAATGCTAGTATGCTACAAAACTACCCTTTTTCATTTATATACATGCAGATAGTAGAGGCTAAAACTATGTTCCCTTATTAAAAAAAGAAAATTAGACTTAGGTAGGGGGCTCCCCTACCGTTTCGGTAAAAAAAAAACAAAAAAAAAACTAGCCTTTCTAGTTATATTAGTTCTAGATCGGTCTGGCAAAAAGATTTGGAAAAAATGTTAAGAGAGAACAATCAGATAGAGCCCGAACATAACTCTATCAATATATGGGAGGCTACTGGCGAGCGCCAGCCGTGTGACCGTGTCCAGTCCGGGCTTCAGGCAAATATCACACGAACGGCGCTTCCTGTCCCAACGCAAAGTACGTGCCGGTCGGCCCGCCTTCCAGCAGCAGCGCCACCTTCACCACGTTGCTTGCGCCTTCCTCGGCCGTCAGGGGCCCGGAGTTCATGGTTATGTCGGTCTTGATGTAGCCGGGATGAGCGCAGTTGACGCGTAGCTCGGGGTGCCTCCTAGCTAGGATTCTCGAGTAGGCGTTCATGGCCGCCTTGGCCACCTTGTACGCTGAGCAATAAATTGGCCACCCGCGCGCCTCCACCGCGCCAGCCTCAAAGTCTCTCAGGAACACGGCCAGCACCTCGTCCAGCCTCTCCTCGGTGAGTTTCTCCACGTCGTTCAGCTCCTGCTTCAGCTCCTCATTGTTGAATAGCTACAATACATCAGAAGTTCAGAACAAAAGAAGTGTTCAGGTTTACTGTCTGCTCGTTGTAGCATATGGCGTACAGGCCCAGTAGGCTTAATGGATTATTTTTTTGAGGTAAAGGCTTAATGGATTACTACCCGTAGCAGCCCGAACCCGGAGGAGACGTTGATGATTCTCCCATCGGGGGAAGCTTTCAGCAGGGGCAGTAAGGCTTGGATTACATGCTTCGTGCCGTAGTAGTTCGTCTGCACGCCTTCATTTGCAGAATCGCAAGTCTCGCGGACATTTTGAAACATCCATTGAAGCCTCTGGAGCTCATCCATGCCACTGAACTGTTTGGGAGCGTGCAACAACAAATAAAAACCTGTTCAGTTTAGCCTTAAATTTAGGGTAAAGTGCATTTTTCAACCTTTAACTTGCACGAGAATTCGCTTTTCAACCCTCTCCTATGAAACCAGTTATCGGACACCCTTCAACTTTCGAAACCTGATAAATTTGGTCCTTTAAGTAGTTTAACGGTACGGTGGTTTTCTCTTTTACGAAAATAATAAAAACTTGTTTAATATCTAAAAATTAATTACTTTTGGTAATCTATAAACAATTATTTGCAACTTATTTAATTTTGTCCCTATTGTTTTATTGCTTGTGGACTAGTTTAGAAACATGAACAAATAAGATTCAAATGACTCTGAATAGATGACCAATGATAAATGATATTTTAGAGAAAAAATGGTATTAGTTTCACATTTTTTTATTTTAAATAAGTTGTGATTTTTAGAGATTAAAACCAGTTTTTATTATTTTTGATAATAGAAAGCCACTATTGAAACTAGCGAGAGGACCAAAATGGTTTAGATTCGACAATTGGAGGGTGTACAGTATCCAGTTTCATAGTTGAGGGTTGAGAATCGAACTTTCATGCCAGTTGAAGGTTAAAAAATGTACTTTACCCTTAAATTTAAGTTCAGAACACACGTCTAGAGACGGGAGCAGAGAGAAGAGTTTAGAAACGAGTCGGAACATTTTTCGTTGTACAAGAGATGCAAGTAATTTCCAGAGAGTATTGGTTTCAATTAGTATCTGACGACGTTATCGCCTCTTACTAACTCCGATTAGCTGAAGATGTGTGAAGCTCACCTTTTGGTCGCTCGATGTTGAGCTACTGACAGGATCTTGGACGTACTCAACAGCACCAACGGCGGCATTATTTACCTAGGAAAAGTTCACTAATCCTATCAACCAACGGCCATTGTATATATCAAGAGAACTTTCAACAGTTTGAGAGAGGCAACTTATTACCATGATGTCAAGCTTCCCAAAACGTGTCTTCAAGAAATCAGCCAGCCGAGCGATGCTCTTAGCATCTGTGATCTCCAGCTGATGGAAAACGACATCAGAGAACCCTGCTTCGTTGAGCTTCTCGACGGCGGCTAAGCCTCTCGCCTCGTCCCTGGCTGTCAAGACGACGGTTAGGCCGTTGCCGGCTAGCTGCCGGCACACCTCTAGCCCGATTCCTTTGTTCGCTCCGGTGACCACAGCAATCCTATCACATCATTTATAACAATAAGCAGCCGAATCTGAACTTGTTTCCCTTGAAGGCTGCACCTGCACGCAAGGAAGCAACATGGAGATACGGCACGTACCTTGTGCTGGGGGGAGTGGGAGTGCGAATACCGCCCTCCATATGAGCGTTCACCGGCGCGAGTTTGAGCGGAAGGAGGATTTTTGAAGAAATTTGCCTCGCTCAGATCTTGTCGATACTAATGGGTATATATATACTTCAGCGAGAGAAAAGACCACAGCTATGACCGGAGATTATTCTCCCATCACGTTTGATGGATGCAATGGCATGCTTCCAAACCTTCTAGTTTTGTGCGGTTTTCGTTTGGTCGTCTGTCCGCAGCTGTTCAACGGACAATTGGTGCCTGTCTTCTTTCTTAGATGAGTAATTGGTGCCGGCCTGTGGATACTGACAAGGTATCGTACTCAGCTGATTCCTTCTGGTTCGGTCTCGCGCCCTTGTCTGGTCATAAAATCTAGATGTTCGCTTAATGTGAATGCTGAACATCTGCCAAGTTTGAATGCATTGTTGGCCGCGCAAATAGAATAGAAAATAGGAAAAACTCCGGACCCTGTAACTGCATACAAACATACAGTCAAAAAATTCTTCTCTAATAAAAGTAAAGGGGAAAGAGCAAACTCAGATGGAAACAAAATTGTATGCAAAAATTATAAGATATGCTATATTTCAGGTGCCTGAAATATACTCCATCCGGTCCATTTTATCTGGCGCAAGTTAGATTGACACGGTCTCCTATATTACACTTTGACCATTCATTTACTTTATATTATATTATTTATGCTTATAAACTTATATTCATTGGATAGTATAATTCCTAATAAATCTAATCATATAAAATTTATATTATAATAATTAAAAATTATTAGCCTAATTATTGGTCAAAGTTTTTAAAGTTTGAATCTTGATATAAGTGTACGCCAGATAAAATGTACCGGAGGGAATAGCATTTGTTGCGGCAACAGCTAACAACCATCATATTTTCATCCAACAGTCCAAATCTATTAGCACAAATCACAATAAACAAATTACAATTTTTATCCTATGGAAGGACAAAGACAAAACTGTTTAGGTGCCTGAACTATAGGAAATGTAAAAAATTATTATTATTACTTTGCCATCTATTCTTCCAAATAGATCCAAAGCGACAACTTCCAATATTTTGCCTGCCAAGAAAATCTTCTACTTTGTGTCTTTTATGTCGTAGCAATGCCTAAAACCGTAGCCAATATTGTATCTTGAATATAGTTTGCATAAAAAACATTTATCTTTTTTCTCCAAAAACAATATCATCATGAATACATCAAATTGTCAAAATAATAGCAGCAACCCCACAAAAATCAGATTTTTATCCTCCCTCTCCATGCGCATAAGCCAGCCTCCAAGCATGCGAGTAGTAGATCTAGCCATACGGTTAACCAAAAGTTATATGAACAATGTTCACCTCAAAAATGTATCAACCATATCCCCAGTGTATGGCATGGCATAGTTCCAATTTTTCAAGTATTATGATGGTACGGTTTCAAATAGTTGAGTAATTTTGGCAGATGTCAAAAATATGTCAATTTTGATGGCATGGTCAAATTAACTCTGTTACTTTCTATTTGTCTATCGCTGGTTTCAATCTTTTCTTTTCTTTTCATTTCATTTTAAGCTGCTTTCCATGTTAAAATCGGATTAAGTTTTTTTAACCTTTTTAACTAAAAATTTGTGATGAAAAAACGATTTGAATGTGGGTGAAATTTTTGTGAGACAAGAATTTAAGCTAAAGGTTTAAGGAGAAAAGCTTTCTCAAAATTTTCCTAAAATTTCTATTTTTAGGAAGCAAGCCATGTGACATAAGAACGTTGTTTTCTTAGGGCCTGTTTCGAGGGACTTCTCCCGCTTTGGTGTTAGTATTGTAGTGGAGCCTGGAGAATGCACCCAAAATGCAGCTCCTCCAGGCTCCAGCCCCTCTCTCTCTCTGGCAGTTCATTTGTAGACGGAGTCAGCCATTTTTCTATTTGCTATAGTGTTCTACACCACTAAACAAATGCTCTACAGTAGCATTTTGTTGCACGGAATCACGTGCTATCTGGGAAATTCAGCAAGAGTTTCAAGGTGTTAAGGAATACAAAAGCATGGCACCGGAGACTTTTTTTATGAAAAATGTATAAAAATGATTATAGCAGACTTCTATCACTTCATCTTGCACGATATGTTCATCGAAATGACAATTACTTCGTTCTACCATGATAGCGAGCTAGCCACGGAGAACAAGTTCGAGAAAATCAGAGCGTGTGAGAAATTATGTATCAAGGATTACAAGCTCTGCCGGATCTGTTTTAGACACAAGAACTAAAAAGCTTTGTGTTTACAAAATACTCACCGTGTACGTTTTTTTTTTTTTTGAGTAAACTCACCGTGTACGTGTGGTTCGGTTTGCCACAGCAAATTGCCGCGGCCCGCGATGCCCTGGCATGCTGTCAGCTTTCAAGTTCCGGCCTGCCACTGTCAGGAAAAAGGCCGTGGGCTGTAACATGGCGTTGTGTGGCTGAAGACCGTGTGGGCGCTTTTTTTTTTTTAAAGTCTCGTAGTTTAGTTTTCCTCCCTGAACTCAAAAATCGGGTAAACCACCTTCCTCAATTTTTAAAACCGTTCATTTTAAATCCCTGACCCTGTTAGTTTTCAAAGGTGGTTTTCTCTTTTTCTTTTTTATTTATTTTAGCTGAATATTTGAAAAATCATAGTAAATCACAGAAAAATCATAAAATGAAAAATCTAATTTTGTTGGACTCCACATGAGTAGATCTACACATTAAACATATAACATGGTATGCTTTAGTACAAAGTTTCTGTCGTAGCTTTAGATCTATGATTTTCTGTAATTAATTCATAGCTGCAGTTTCTAAGATCCAATTGTGGTGAAATTTTTATAGTGGTCTAATTATTGTATGCTTTAATTGTATTAAAATTTTCATACTTGTTTCTATTCTACACACTTTTAACTACTTTAAAACTATTTAACAAGCATAAAGATAAATAAATCTATAACTCAGTTATACATGATCCAATGAGCTTGAATTTTTTACTACTATTCAATCATATAATAATTAGCACACCATAAAAATTTCACCACAATTGGACCTTAGAAACTCAAGCTTTGAATTAACTACAGACAATCATATATCTAAAGCTACAACAAAAACTTTGCACTAAAGCATACCATATTATATATTTAATATGTAGATGTACTCATGTGGAGTCCAAGAAAATTAGATTTTCTATTTTATGATTTTCTTGTGATTTACTATGATTTTTTTAAAAATTCAGCCGAAATAAAAAAAAGATAAAGATAAAACCGCATTTGAAAACTATTATACCTAGGTCAGGGAGTAATATGAGCGGTTTTAAAAGTTGAGAGAGATGGTTTACCCGGATTTAGAGTTTAGGGAGAAACACTAGACTTTGAGGATAGTTTGGGGAGATAAAATGGACTTTTTCATTTTGTTTACAACAAGTACGCGCATTGTGTTGCACTGTTGATATCCTTTGGTTGAGTATTGGGCTTGGCCGAAGTAGGCGTAGGGGCTCGGCCCAGGTGGAGTCGGTTCGTGTGACTTACAAAAGCCGTTTTACCGAAACGGTTGCAGTTATTATGACGAAATGCTCTTTACCGAGCGTCCGGCCGGTCGGACGCGCACCATCGCTGGGCCTGCGAACGAGGTCTAATTGGCCCATTATTAAAAAATATGGACACTTCCACCTGGACGGAACCTCCTCGTGTCGCGCGCCCCTGCGCCTCGCGTGTCACGTCGGACCCACTTCGCGTTGCGCGTCCCTGCGCCTCAAGCCGAAACCGCCTCATGTCGTGCACCCCGCTCGTGCCTCATGCCTCGCGCCGCCCGCGTGCGTTGCGCTCCCCCGCGCCCGCGTCAACGAGTCTTCATTAGGCGGCAGTAAGTAGATTAGCACATGTTGCAACCGTATGTTTCATGCATTTCAGATGTATGTTGCATATGTTTTATTTGGATGTTACAAAAGTAGATATGGTGTTGCATATGTTGCATAGCTATATACGTGTTTTGTAAGTATATGTTTCAGCTATTTCAAACGTATGTTGCAAATGTTTTATCTAGACGTTGCATATATTGCAGTGGCTATACACGTACGTTGGAAGTGTATTTTCAAATATTTTAGCTGTTTCATCTGGATGTTGCATGTTTTCATCTGGATGTTGCATATATTGCAGTGGCTATACTCATTTGTTGCAAGTGTATGTTCTAAATATGTCACCTATTTTAGACGTATGATGCAAGTGATTTTTATCTTGCATATGTTGCAGTTGTTATACACATATGTTGCAAACATTTGTTCCAATTGTTTCACCTAGTTTCAGTATGTTGCAGCAGATGCTGCTGCCCATGCGCTCTGATCGTGGGCACGCACACGCTGCACGTACCCATCCAGCACTGTCTATCTCTGCCATGCGGACCAGCTCCAAGTGTCGGACGTACACGCAGTGGGCGGTCAGTGCCCAAATGGCAAAGCACTCCATGGTCAAAGTGCAAGCGCGCATGCAGAACGCCAGATAGGGCCAACACCCAACTAACGCAGAACCAAGCACCCCTGCACCACCAGGCTTGGTCCCCCACGGTGGAACTTCTAGTCGGGGTCAACACGGGTACGCGTGTGTGCTCCCACCACGTCTCTCGCATGCAGCTGGCCGAGCCCCACGCACGTGTTCTCCCGTGCAGACGTAGCAGCAGCACGCACGGACCCAGCAGCAGGCGTGGGACACCAAGCGCGCGGAGAGGCGCGGCGGCAGCAGCACGCTCGGGGTATACCAAGCCAGCAGGCGCAGCAGCAGCACGCGTGGAGCGTGAAGCACACGGGCAGGCACAGCAAGCCAACGCAGTAGCACGCGGATGCGCTGGCGTCCGGATGCGCGTGAGAATGAGCTCTCCTCCGTGGAATTCCTGCCTGTTCGTGACAGCCACCCGCTGACCCGCGTGCGGCAGCAGATTTACCGTCAGTTCGTCACGGCACTCTGCCTGTCACTGGCTCACTAGGAACGCTGGCGGCCGCTGAGCACCAATAATGCCCAATGACCCTCGGTGGTACGGAAAAAATTCTCTGGAGTCGTGTTGTATCCAGACTCGAGTGCAGCTCCGACTGCTGGCCGTCCGTGTATCCGTTTGTATGAATCTCGATGTTTAGCCCATCAGCCGATGCTCGACGGAACGTGCGGTCCGCGCATGCAAGGATCAGGACCATCGATGAGGATGGATCGACGGCAACAGAGCCGTGTTGCACGGAGATGCTGTGCATCATGACTGCATAATTTTTTTCCCACTGGTACGGGAGTAAACTCTGCACGGTTCTAAGTTCAGACTAGCAAACACACACACACACACACAGAGAGACATCTGGGGGATTTTATTAGTTATTACCGAAGCTGCAGCAATCCTTTATTCGCGGTCTCAAACCAGCAAATTACTAGTTAATTAAGCTGCGCTGGTAGATAGCAGGCACGCCAGGCAGTCGGAGAACGGCGGTGGCGCACTAGCGCTGGGCCATGCACCGCTGCCAGTCTGGGGCATGGCAGGGTCACACGAACGGCGCCTCCTGGCCTAACGCGAAGAAAGTGCCGGTCGGGCCGCCTTCCGGGAGCAGCGCCACCTTCACCACGTTGGCCGCGCCCTCCGCGGGCGTCAACAGGCCCGTCTGCCTGGTCATGTCGGTCTTCACGTACCCGGGATGCGCGCAGTTGACGCGCAGCTCGGGGTGCCTCCACGCCAGGAGCCTCGAGTACGAGTTCAGGGCCACCTTCGCCACCTTGTACGCCGAGAACTCCGTCGGCCACCCGCGGGCGTCCAGCGCGCCGGCCTCGAAGTCCCGGAGGAACGTGCTCAGCAGCTCGCCCAGCCTCTCCTCCGTTAGGTTCTCGATGTCGTCCAGCTCCTGCTTCAGCTCCTCGCTCCTGATATGCTGCATTGGAAAGATTGATGGATAGATCTTCCTGTTTCAGTCAGATCTAGCAGCCTCACTCGACTTTGGAGTGGTTTATGTGATGAGAAATCAGAAAAACTTACGCGTAGCACCCCGAAGTCGGAGGAGACGTTGACGACCCTTCCGTCGGAGGCGGCTTGCAGCAGAGGCAGCAACGCTTCGGTCACGTTCTTCATTCCGTAGTAGTTTGTCTGAATGCCTGCCTTAGCAGCGTCGCTTGTGGGCCGGGATTGTTTCCACATCCATTCCGCCATCTGAAATGCATCCATGCCCTTGATCTGTTCCACGCACCAACATGTATAAATCAATTCAGATTGTGGCCTACGAGCTGAAAAATCTGAGAATACATATCGGAGCATGTATGTAACCTCAGCTGGATTTTCGATGGGAAGTGACTCAACCCCACCGATAGCGGCATTATTCACCTGGAAAGCAGAAACAATGTCTTTTCTTTATCAGTCACAGTCACCGGCCCTTGCCCTACCAAACCTTCAGAATTAAGTTCGAAAGAGGACTTATTACCAGGATGTCTAGCTTCCCGAAACGCGCCTTCAAGAAACCGGCCAATCTAGCAATGCTCTGAGCATCGGTGACCTCCAGCTGATGGAAAATGACATCGGAAAGCCCTGCATCTGTGAGCTCCTCTACGGCGGCTGCGCCCCTCTTCTCGTCCCTGGCTGTTAAGACGACGGTGATGCCATTGCTGGCCAGCTGCCTGCACACCTCCAGCCCGATCCCTTTGTTCCCGCCGGTGACAACAGCAACCCTACCAAAGTATACGACAGTACTGCATGCTATTTCTCTAAAAAAGAACCGGGCTTACTGACTCCCATTTTTTTTAAGAAACTCCCAGTGCTAAAGTTCAACTTATGTATAGATTACACGCGAGAACGTCGGATGGCACGTACCTAGTGCTGTGGGGACTAGAGATAGCGGCCGCCATGAGCCTGTGCACCACGAGCTCGAGCAACAGGATCAGAGATGAATTCCTCACTCCTCAGCCACTCGGTGAACTTGACGACAAGATCACAAGAGTGGGGAGGTGGGGTTTGTTTATGTTGCCTAGCGAGGTGGGGTTGGTGGTTGTTAGCAATATTTACGAAGAACAGGACGTTCGATGGTAGTTCCGCCAGCAAGCACCGTAGTAAACTTTTGTGGCCACCAGAACCAATGAATGTGCTGCCTTCGTCCAAAGAACGGTGGAAATATCTCGAGGTAAGATGCAATGGCATGGGGGCAATGACTACGTCCAGGCAAGTGAAGGACGCACGCAGTGACGTAGATGACGACATGTTTCGTCCCTATGCCATAATGGTGTGACGGGTCTTATATAAGGGCGTACTCAACGGCAAGTGAAGGACGCACGCAGTGACGTAGATGACGACATTTTTTTGTTTATTTATTTATTTGATTTACAGATTTTCAAAAAATCAACGGTCGTGGTTTGTTTGAGGTATCTACTTTCTCTGGGTAACTGAATATCGTAATAAGTCTTTTCTTCCAGATGAAAATACTTTGCCCATGGGTTCAAAGGTTCAGCGCAGAATGTAAACGCAACTGGGGAAAAAAATTGTAGCATCTTATGCGTATCTCTAGATGGGAGCAGCTGCACATCACACGAACGACGACTGTTCAAAGTCTTGAAAGAACGCGCCGGTTGGCCCGCCTTCCGGCAGCAGCGCCACCATGGCGACCCTGCTGCCGCCTTCCTCCGGCGTCAACAGCCCCGAGTGTATGGTCATGTCGGTCTTCACGTACCCCGGATGCGCGCAGTTGACGCGCAGCTCGGGGTGCTGCCTCGCCAGAATCCTCGAGTATGCGTTCATGGCCGCCTTGGCAACCTTGTACGCCGAGAAATACATTGGCCAGCCGTTGGATTCCACCGCGCCGGCCTCGAAGTCTTTCAGGAACATGTCAAGCAGGCCATCCAGCCTCTCCGGGGTGAGGCTATCAATGTCGTTCAGCTCCCGCTTCAACTCCTCGTTTCGGAAAAAGCTGCATAGGGGGAACTTTTGTTACTGCAGTTTTTAATGCTTTAATTTGGAAATTCTAGAGGACAGGATCCTTCGAACATGAGATTCGATCAGGCTTGGTAAGATTTGGAAGAAAATTTTCATATCTGAAATTCTGAATTTGACCTCTCCTTTTTAGCATGATGCATTGCCATTAGATTTTTTGCACAAAGTGATCAGCAGATCTATCTTACCCTTAGCTGCCCGAAGTGGGAGGAGACGTTAACGATCCTCCCATCGGAGGAGGCTTGCAGCAGAGGCAGTAAAGCTTGGATTACTTGCTTTGTGCCATAGTAGTTTGTCTGCAGGCCTGTCTTTGCATCGTCGTAAGTCTCCCGGCAATTTTCCCACAGCCATCCAAACCTCTGATCCATATCCATGCCACTGAGCTGTTGCGTGTGTCAATACAATAAGAACTACAGTTACAGTTTGGACTTTGGAGTACAAGCAATTAACAGAGAGTTTGACAAACAAGTCCTCCTGCTACATCGTTTGATCAACACACACACAGCTGAAGAAGAAAAGTCTTGGGGGGGAAAAAAGCTCACCTTTGCCTTTTCCTCGCTCGTTACTGAGCCACAATCTTGGTCATGAACATACTCAATCCCACCAATCGCGGCATTATTTACCTACAAACGGCACAACCACGCACATCGTGACATGGAAATCTGTCAGCTATCCGGCGAGATCTTTAACCGAAAGCTCATATAGACGGTTTGGTCACCATCACCACTCACCAGGATGTCTAGCTTCCCGAAACGGGTCTTGAGGAACTCAGCAAGTCGAGCAATGCTCGGAGCATCGGTAATGTCCAGTTGATGGAAAAGGACATCGGAGAGCCCCAGGTCTCTGAGCTTCTCCACGGCCGCCACGCCCCTCGCCTCGTCCCTGGCTGTTAAGAAGACGGTGGCGCCGTTGCCGGCCAGCTGCCGGCACACCTCCAGCCCGATCCCTTTGTTGCCGCCGGTGACCACGGCGACCCTGCCAGACGCAACCAGTACGACGATAGATTAATTAGTACCACGCCTTACTTAAACGCAGCATGGAGATATCAGGTATGTCACGTACCTAGCGTTCTCAGTAGAGGGGACATCGCCCTCCATCTTGTAGCTCTGGATCGGAAGCAAATACGTCTCGCTTTCGCTTTGGCAGTGGAAGCAGTTCTCTTGAGTACTTGAAAGGACTCCCAGTACAAGCCTACTACTGCCGATTTATTCTTGAGGCGGAGCCGTGGAGGTGAACTAGTGATCACTCTCTACGCACCAGCCAACAGGGCTTGATGGATACGTAAAGCTAAGGGAATGTTTTGTTCGAAATAAGTCACCTATTTATAAGTTAAAAAATAAAAAAAAATAACTTATTTTGTTAAATATCACAAACTTATAAGTCATCCCTGCTTATAAGTTTTAAGTTGATTTACCCCTGCTTAAAACTTATAAGTCACCATTTTCACGTGGGGCTCACACCTTTAATGAGCTTATAAGTCATCTACAACCAAACATGCATGACTTATAAGTCACTGGTTTTCAGTCACCTGACTTAGGGCCTCTTTGGCATGGCTTATGCCGGCTTCGGCTTTATCTATTTTACGCAAATCGAGGCACTGTAGCGTGAAGCCGTTTTGTGAACCGGGGTTAAAATGAACTAGAAGCCGGAAAAGCCGGCTTCACCGGCTTTAGCTTCACTGATGAAGCCATTTTGGATGAGCCGTGCCAAATGTGGCTAACAGGCCCTAAAGCTAACCAACCAGTCCGTAATCATTCGTCTCGGCCGCTGGCCGCAATCAACGAATTCAATTTCGTCTAATACTCCCATATGTAGTCACGTGCTGGCATTTGGCAGCCGCTCTGTATACACGCAACGCCGACTGATCAAACCCTGAGGTCGTGAGAACGCCTGCGGACGCGAGAGCAGCCGCAACCACCAACCAGCCGTGCCGTGCCGTGCCCAAACATCCGCCACCGATCACACGAACGAGGTCTCCTTGCCGCCGCCGGCGTCAAAGAACGCGCCGGTCGGGCCGCGTTCCGGAAGCAGCGCCACGGCCACCACCGTTGCGCCGCCCTCCTCGGGCGCGAGGAGCCCCGAGTTCCGTGTCATGTCGGTCCTCACGTACCCGGGGTCCGCGCAGTTGACGCGCAGCGCCGGGTGCCTCCTCGCCATCACCCGCGAGGACGCGTTCATGGCCGCCTTGGCCACCTTGTACGCCGAGAACTCCGCCGGCCACCCGCGGGCCTCCACCGCACCGGCCTCGAAGTCCTTCAGGAACGCGTCCAGTAACTCGTCCAGCCTCTCCTCGTCCAGGTTGTCGACGTCGAGCTCTTGCTTCAGCTCATCGCTTCTGAAAAACTGCCTCAGGATTCAGGCACACATAAGATTGGTTCAGAGATCAGAATTCTGAAAAATTGATGTGGTTCGGTGGTGAGTTACTCTGAGCAGCCCAAAGCCGGAGGTGACGTTGACAATTCTTCCGTCGGATGAGGACAGTAGGAGGGGCAAGAGGGCTTCCGTGATGTGCTTTACGCCGTCGAAGTTCGTCTGCAGACCTTGCTTTGCGGCGGCGTAAGTTTGCCGGCAGTTTTGCCACATCCACTCAACTCTCTCATGTCCATCCATGTCAATGAACTGCAAGGGCCAAGGGACAGGCACCACTGAGCACTAACACCGCCGTGATTTTTTATCAATTGTCAGGTTTTGTGGAGATGCCAGAACGCTTACCTTTTCCACCGTTGGCTGCGGCCGACCAAAAGAGGGTTCGTCTACAAGCTCAACCGCACCAATTGCAGCATTATTCACCTACAGGTCAAATAAAGCACCCAGCACTCAGTGGCCATGTGACCATGTCGAAATCTAGCACCATGCAGGCACTGGAGCTCAGGAAGGGGAAATGGAAACTCACCAGGATGTCTAGCCTCCCAAAACGGTTCTTCAAGAAACCAGCCAATCGAGAAATGCTCAAAGCATCAGTGACATCCAGCTGATGGAAAATGACATCGGGGAGCCCCAGCCCTGTGAGCTTGTAGACGGCCTCTGCACCCCTCGTCTCGTCCCTAGCGGTCAAAACGACGGTGACCCCGCTGCTGGCCAGTTGCCGGCACACCTCGAATCCGATTCCCTTGTTGCCGCCGGTGACCACAGCAATCCTGTCCACAGCGGAGCCACGGACCAATGTTTCTTGCCTAGCGACCATGACAGCGTGATACAGTTCAGATTTATAGGAAGGCTCGCTCCACGGCAAGAGGCCAAGAGCTACCGATCTACTATACCTTGTGGCTACGGAACTGGAGACGGCTCCTTCCATGCGTAGCTGAGCTCGAACAAGAAGAAAGGGGATGACTTGCTCAGATGTAGCAGTGGCACGGTTGGTATGCGTTGTTGTCGACTGGTAATAAACAAACAGAAATCCGTAACTTTCGGTTCGATCATCTTCAAGATGACAAATTGCAGCAGCCATGTGCCGGTTTGCCCGCAGCTACTGCCTACGCGCTGGTAAAAGATTGTGCATCTAAGGGCCCGTTTGAATCATTAGGGATTCGATAATGATATAGCCCAACGTCGCTTCCCACCGAATCATTCTTATCCATTTGTTCTAACCCCGACCAAATCGTTCTTATCCATTTGTTCTGAGGCCACCGACACAGCCTGCTCCTAGGAGCGCAACAACTCCTCCCTCTCCCTTCGATACGCCCTCACCTTACTACCTCCCTCGCCACCGAATCGAGGCGAGCGGCGGCGCAGACGAGACGACCATCAACGCGCCGGCCGCAGGGTCCAGGCCCCATCATTGATGACTTCGATGCAGAACAACGGGGCATAGGTTGCGGCGGCCGTGCCGATGAACTTTGCACACGCTAATAGCCACCGGCGCGCCATTGAGCTCCATGCATGTGCCACCGAACCATCGAGCTTCCATGATGGATGCTCCAGCAAGCAGGCGAGATGAGCTTCATGTGACGCCGCCCCACTAGTGAGTTACTTGTGTCGCTGCCGCACCGGCAAGCTCCGCGTCGGCGTCGAGCTCCGCAACGACGAGTATCCACTCGCCCAAGCAGCAAGGTGACATTGCGTTGCAACAACATGTTGCAAGTGTATGTTCAAGGTGTTTCAACTGTTTGAGATGAATGTTGCAAGTTGTTTACCTAGATGTTGCAAAAATACATCTAGATGTTGCAATACGTATATAAAAATGTTTTATCTGTTTCAGATGTATGTTGCAAGTGTTTTATCTAGATGTTGCATATGTTTCACGCATATGTTGCAAGTGCATGTTCTAAATATTTCAGTTGTTTTAGACATATATTGCATTTGTTTCATGTTGAGTTCTTCATGTTCAGAGGTACGATCGGAGGGGCGCATGGATTCCTGCGTGCGTGTGCGAAGCGGAGCACACGCGGGCGGTCCCCGCATGGCCTTCTTCCTCGGCAGCGCAGTCGGCAGTCAGCACGCACACGCTAGGCTGGGGCTGGGAACGGACGGTGGAGTAAAAAGCGTGCGCATGTAGCCACAGCGCGGTGCGCACGGAGGTGGTTTCCTCTCCCACCGCCTCCTCATGCTGTAATTTGGCGCGTTCCGCGGGAAACGGAGCTGCGAATCAGAGTGGGCGGGGCACGCGACACAGAGCAGGCGCGGGCATCCGTCCGCTAGCTCTACCATTTGGGATTATGAGAATTTGTATGAAAAAACTCTACACCATATATGCAGGAGAGATTTTAGAGCATTATCTACTCACATACTTTTTGAATCCCAAAATCCTACAAAACTTGGAAGCCGTGGGATACTTAGAATCCAAGAATTTTTATCCCATTCAAACGGCACCTAAACCTTCTGTAAATCATAGCATAGACATAGACATTTATGTATATATAGGCATATTCACCCCCTATGAATACACACCTACTCCTATGAGCACATCCGAAAAACTGAGGCTAGCCTTAATGATGGCACACATAAACTCTCTCTCTCTATGAGCACCTTCTAAAGACTAAAACTGGATCGACAGGTCTCAAGATTACCATAGGCATCTCGCTGTCATGAGGCACGTCGCCTATCACCAAAAGAACAACGCCATTAAATCCTAAGATAAATCTAGAAAAATACGTGCACTTACGTCAAATCGAGGACTTAAACCTGAGTAAATATGTTTTCACCACAAAGAACCCAACCAGCTAAGCTATGCTTGGTTCACATGCATCTAAATCTTAACATTATTAAATTAGATATATCCAACAAAATCTCTACATTAATCCTCATGAGATGTTCAGTTCAAAAACAAAATACTCATGAGATGTAATAGAAAAATATAAATACAATAAATGCTTATAAATATCATAAACATCTGGCCTTCAACTAATAGACTCTAATCATCGTTGCCAACAATAGTCAATGAATTTATTCTGTTTTATAAAAAAAATTACCACACAATTATGAAAATCCATAACCTAATCCCTACATTTAATTACCTACCTCTACCATTATGAAATATAATTCATAATAACTTCTTAAATTTGTGTCTAAACACTACCAAAATGGTGGAGTTCTCCTAATGTTCTAAGTAGTAATAAGAACAATACTGGGATCTGTGACAGAACCGCCCAATTTATACAAGATCAAGTACGGCCGTCCCCGCTAACACGTTGACACACACATACTTTCACTCATATAAACCCGGTAGTCCGTCGAGTGTCCCGAAAGACTTCGGTAAATCAACATCACAACCAAGATCGCGTGATTAAGCAAATATATATCACATACACAGGGTTGCAGCTGGAAATAATATTACAAATGAGTTCACAAATAATAGTACAAGTTTGGGTTTCAAAACCGCTTAGTGAAAACAACATAGCTTTCAAATGATTACCTTAATATAAGTTCCAAATACATTGCTAGCATAAGTGACATCATCCGACAAAAGCATATAGACGAGAAGTAATTATAGAATCACCGAGCCCACCGGCGGTTAGCCACCATCTTTCGCAGGCCAAGAACTTCACCTGCAACATGGTGGAATAAACCCTGAGTACTCGAATATACTCAGCTAGACTTACCCGTCGGAAACCAAAACAAATGACACCAAGAATTATGCAAGGCTTTCTTTAGTGGGCTAGCTGACTCGTTTGCGAAAAGCATAAGCTATCATGAAGAAACCATTTTAAGTACTTTGCATCATCTTTATTATAACCTATCCATCTAGGTAAGCACATATACTATAGCAATCACTTGATTAACCAATAACATCCAGTTACCAATTTAGATTTAGCATATTCCATACCATCTAGATAACCATTATTGTTCCATAATAATTACTACGATGCCGTAGCTCGAGTCAAGTGCTCACTATCCAGGAGCGATGGCGATTCGAATCGATTCCTAACCAGCTGGTGATTTATTCCTTACACAAACCTCACTCACCCGCTAAAGTGAGGTATCGGTCACCGAGTCAACTATCCAGGAAAAATCTCGAGTTTGTCAGGAACCACATGTACCCGGGGGCCGACCGACTGCCTTTTGGTCTTATCATCGCGCCCCCGTGTCCTACCACGCCTGCTCCGATACAGTGCGCTGCGGGCAATCCACTCGGCCCGAATAATCTCCCAGCTTTGCGGTCGAAAGGTACGTTATTCGGCTAGCTAAATGTAAGGCATGCGTTCAACATGACCCGAGGCCCAACAACGGTCGGTTCTTAATCGACACAGACAGAAACTAACAGCACCCTAGAACCCTGTCTGGTTGCCTCCAACTTTTCCGTCCAGTCTCCAATTATTCATCACACATGGTTAATTCCAGTATATCATTCTTTCTATAGCTAAATTCTTCCAGTAACCACCTAAAATGTAGGTGACCGGATATTACCGATCGCTACCGGTCTAAGCAAGGCTAAGCAGTTATTCGATCCTGACCTAACAGGGTAAAAGGTAATAAGGTAGGCAAGAATAGTAATAAATGCATCAACGGTTTCAATCAACTCCTACAACTTAATGCAACAATATATAAACTCATATATATAGAAAGAATCGCTTTTATAAATTAGGAGACTTATAATGCTCCGGGGCTTGCCTGGGATCCGACACAAGTCAGTTCAGTTAGCTTGCACCGTCTTAGTGACATCTCCGGTCCTAGCACTTGCTTAGTCCTTTCATCTTCGGGATAGGTCCACCATACACTGTCTTCGGGTTCGGCTCCAACATCACGTCCTTCACGGGGTTCATCTAGCGCACCTAGATGAGATGCAAGATACAAGTGCATGAATATGAAAAATGGTAATACAAGATGCATCACATAAGCATTCAAGACAAACACAAGATTATGCAAGACATAGACACCAATAATATTTAACTAACATCACACAACTAACTATAGAGAGCAAGCACATCAAGCATGACACAAGTTTAACAAGGTCACAAGTATCATAACTTGATCATCAACAAGGGCATAAGCCACACTTAGCAGCACATGGAGTAAACAACCACAACTAGCATATGTCTATTTCTGGACTAGAAACAACACCTTCATGTTTGGCAACACGTGGCGTCGAGGCTCTGTGCACTGTCGGCCTTGCTGCCTCTGCTGAAAGAAGGAAACAAATTCAATACCACCTCAAACATACCACTGAAGCCCGATTTTCATCCCTCCATATCTCCTAAACCACTTAATTTTGGCACAATCCGTAGTAATAAAAGTTGTAGAGCTACGCGATATTTATAACTTTTCTTAAAGTGTCAAAGTCTGATTCAGCCTGGTTGGAGAGATACACGACTACGAAGCGGGGTACACGAAAACTAAAAACTCAGTTTCAGTCCATTAGGGACTTAGCCAAAATTTTGAGCTCCAAAACAGCCATGGATTCCAACTTGAGGGCTCGGTTTGACTTACTTACCAGCTAATCTAGCTCTTGGTTCAGAAACAAAGTTTGTTCTACTCCACTCAAACTTCAACTTTTGTTTAGGTTTCACTGCCATGCAAACCTTCTAAACTACAGTTCAAACCAAGTCAAAGTAGCATCACGATAAAGCTTAAATTATCCTTTTTGATCTATTGGAGCATTTTCTGGCCACTTGCTCAACATGAACCTTTCATGACTTTCGTTGTAGAGTTCATCTAGAGTCATTTGGGCATGGTTGTAAGATTTGGTTGACGATCGAGAATTCCATTCACTTTATAAAATAATTCAAGCAAGGACATAACTCGTCATTTCATGTGACTTCTTGATTCCAAACTTCACAAAACTTTTCCATGGATCAATATAGATGGATATTGATGCGAGACACATGAAACAAATACATCCAACATTTCCCAAGCATACTTTTAGAAAGGGCAGCATGTAAGCAATGGTGCATGGTCCAAGTTTAAGTGGTGGCTCATTTTCATATGTTTGACCTAACATCTCCATCACCACTTAACATGCCATAGTTGAGTTTAAACCCATTGCTTACCTGGTGACAAACACCTGGGGTGTTACAGGATCCTCCCTAGGAGACATTTGGTAGGACAATCCGGTGAGAATGACAGTGGTATGGTGATTGGGAGAATCAAGTGGCGACGGTGAACCTTAGTGTGGCTTGCGGCACTTGTTTGGTTACACAAGCTTTTGTGGCAAGCTCAACACCGTGACATATTCTTTATGGATCTATAGCGTGGACCAGAGGTTGTGTTTTGGTAACCCATACCATGGGATACATCCTTGTCTTCAAAAGGTTATCCTCTCTTAACTTTCTCTTTACCTTACGCATTAAGCTTCCGCATTGTGCTTGTTTTGCATGGCTTTTATCTCTAGATTAGCATAGGTTGGCTGATAGAAATGCTTCTAGTTTGCAATACTCTTTGTGAGTTGGTTAAGATAGGTCACACTAGAAAATCTAAGGTGCATACATACTAGTTAGTTTATGTTTTTCTTGTGTAGATCAGGTTGAGCCAATGTTAAGATTTTAAGCTAAAGTGACCTCACTCCCTCCCTCTTGGACTCATGAAAAGCAAAACGTTGTTAGATTCTAAAATAAATTTAGAAAAATATAGACACCTGCATTAAGTTAAGAAATTACTCAGATGGGAGATTTCACAAAAAAATCTAATCTAATCAGTTGAGGTACACTCGGATTGCTCCGAACATTTGTGTGTGATGTCGTGCCACACTGCTCCTGCTGCACCATGACGCCTAAATCCAAAGCAGAGAACGTTCCTTGCGTTTGCAGAGTGCTGACACACCCCAAACATTATCTTGCCATGCAAAAAGGGTCAGTGTCAGACTGTCAGTAGGGGCCAAAAACCCCTCCAACTCGTTCAAAAAATCAAATGGCATGCATCATCAGGTCATCACCACAAACGTTCCCAAACATAATCAATTTATTACCAGAATCGTCCAGCACCATTCGCTACCACACTCTCAAACAAGCAACATACCATGCATGATACCAAGTGGTCCAAATACACCGTGAGAAGCAGCCGCAGCGAGCCAGGCCGATCCAGAAATCACACGAAGGAGGCCAGCTTCTTGCCCTCCTCAAAGAAAGCGCCGGTCACCCTGCCGTCCGGCAGCAGTGCTACCTTCACCACGTTGCTCGCGCCCTCCTCCGGCGTCAGGAGCCCCGAGTGTAAGGTTATGTCACTTTTGACATAGCCGGGATGCGCGCAGTTAATGCGCAGCGCTGGCTGCTTCGCCGCCAGGATCCTTGAGTACGCGTTGACGGCCGCCTTGCTCACCTTGTAGGCCGCGAACGCTACTGGCCACCCGCGTGCTTCTGCTGTGCCGGCCTTGAAGTCTCTCAGGAACTGGTCAAGCAGTTGGTCCAGCCTCTCCTCGGTGAGCTTGCTCACGTCGTTCACCTCTTGCTTCAGATCCTCGTTTCTGAAATGCTGTATTGATGAAGAACTTCTGTTAAGACAACTGACGACCACTGAGCCAATTGGGGAGTGGCCTATGAATGGCTGGATTGGATGTTGAATCTGATCAATAAGAAGGTACCCTTAGCAACCCAAAGTCGGAGGAGACATTAACGATTCTTCCATCGTCGGAGGCTTTCAGCAGAGGCAGCAAGGCTTCGATCACATGCTTTGTGCCGTAGTAGTTTGTCTGCAGGCCTTCCTTTGCAGCGTTGTAGGTCTCCCGGCAGTTTCGACACAACCATTCAAGCCTCTGATCCCTATCCATGAGATTGAACTGTCGCACACATGAACAGAAAAGCTTGTTCAGTAGTAGACAATTAAGGTATAGATTCAGGGTTTCTTTAGATTATTCTTAACCATGAAAGATATGGGTTATTTAGATACATAATTAGAGGCTTACTTTAATTTTTTATAATGATAGAGGTAGGCAACTTAGATGCAAATCTTAGAGTATTACTTTAGGTTAAATTTTACAATAATAGATGTGGATGATTTGGAAGCATACTAAATTAGATTGTTACTTTAGGATACTTTTTATAACGATGGAAGTGGATGATTTAGAATCAAAACTAAATCCATAATAATGTGTCATGAAGACCTTGCCTTACAAAATTAATCATTGGATACTAACAAGCGTCGTTCCACTAGACATCATTTTTACTATTACTAATTCGAGGCTTTAATAATGCCTTCACGTTGATCCTTTCAAGACGTGCTAGAAAAAAGATAAATTTCATAGATCCTTACAAAAATCAGAAACACCAAGCCGTCTATTTAGCATAATCTAATTACAACTAAAAATAGTAACCATTATATTTGTTTTGTTTTCTAAATAATTACACGCCTTTTCCATTATTTAAAAAGGTCTAAAGTAACCGCCTAATCTTGACCCAGATTACCTACCACTGCCATTATGTAAAATAACACAAAGTAACCCTAATATTCATCTAAATTATCCACACGTCCCATTTTGAGAAAGACTACAATCCATTATCTGATATTGATCCCTAAGAAACTCCATAACAGAAATCATATCACTTCTGACTTTTGAAACCGAACAAAAGTACCCCCTTCACCATTTCAAAATGGGTTTCCAGCCATTTTTGTTGACGTGGTAATGGAGCCCACATGTCAGATGGTCTCTCTCTTTCTCTCTTGTTTTACTCTTAACTGAAAAATCATAACATTTCATATGAAGTCGAATCAAGATAAATCTATATCCAGATTGTAGATCTTGATCCGATCTACAACTTTGTAGTTTAGATCATTTAGGGCTCAAATAATTTTTTTAAGATATTATATTTTTAAAAATTCAAATCTTTGAACTTTGAAACAGCCTCGGATGTAGATATGGCCTATACCAAAGTTGTTACTCACTTCTATCATTATTAATATAAAAATTCTAAAAGTATGCATGCATAAATGTGTGTCACTATTTAGATCCTATAAGCATCTACATTGAATTGAGTCAAATACATAGCTGAATCAACGGTTTCAACTGAACACATATCGAGTACATGTATATGAAGGTGTCATGTAAAGGGGGGAAAATATTAATAGCAATGGGGAAGTATATAAGGTAATTGATAACTAAAGTGTGTCACAACTCACAAGTGGAGAAAGATCAGAAAGTAGCAATATAAGTATTCTATTATAATATACAACACATGGAGTATCTAGTGAACATATGTCAAACACAAATGGAAATGTGATGCAAATGGAGAAAACATGAAATGAGGATGGAAAAATATATAAAATAATTATACTTGTATCAACAAAGAAAAAGAAATGTATTTATCAATAATGTGTTAGAATATGAACACATGAGAGAGAGTTTTAAACTAAACATAGGTTAACACATGAAGGTGTCATGTAGAGCAGAAAATTATGAATTAGGATGGAAATGTGTATAGAACAATGGGTAAACTAAAATATCACAACTCAATACAAATAAAAAAGTATCTACATGAGCATTGTATTAGAATATAAGCAAATAAGAGAAATAAAAAATAAACAATTTTGATTAGTCATGGCTCCAAATCTATATGTAAATAAATTTGTAATACTTATATCCTTTATAATTACTGACCCATGAGGTAGCACTAGTATATGGACTAGCATATCCTAGTGTCTACCACTAGGAGAAAATATAAACCTCACCTTTTCCTCTCTCGATTCTAGATCATCAACAGGATCTTGAGAGTACACGACCCCACCAACCGCGGCATTATTTACCTACAAATATACAAGTGAAGTACTATTGATCACCGGCGGGCCAGTCAAGCTTTTGAGACGCCAGAAGATGATGACTTACCAGGATATCTTTTTTTGAATCGGAAGCTTTTATTAAACTAAAGAGCAAAGAGCAGTACATCAAGTTGATACACAGACTTACCAGGATATCTAACTTCCCGAATCGGGTATTCAAGAAGTTTGCTAATCGAGCAATGCTAGAAACGTCCGTGATATCAAGCTGGTGAAAAAGAACATCGGAGAGAGCCAGCCCTTTGAGCTTCTCGATGGCTTCCGCGCCCATCCCCTCGTCCAATGCTGTCAAAACGACGGTGATGCCATTGACGGCCAGCTGTCGGCACACCTCTAGCCCGATACCTCTGTTCGCACCGGTGACCACGGCAATCCTGCTAAAGCACCAACCACAATAGTACTGAGCCTAATCCTTGTAGTAATTTTGAGTAAATTAAATGTACACCGGGTCATTCAACTCAACTAGATGCACACTCTTTTTGTGTGGGGGGAGGGGGGCTAAAATCCTCTTCACGACCACCCAACCAATAGGTCAACACCACAACTCTATTATGGATTGTAACTTAGAGCACAACAACCCAACTCAAAAGACTTGCACAAGATGCATCACTAAGCATGAACTAAACAACTCAAAAACACATCCCAACAACTACACGCCTAAGAAGACACTTAGAAAGAAACCTTATTGCCATTGAGGAATAACGCTGAACCGAAAGGCCTCCAAGGAGGTAAGGTCACAACATCAAAGATGTCAGCGGCTGTCTTCATACATGCCAGAGTTAAAGTTTTAATCTGAAGATCCATGGCAGGAGGTTAGAAGTGTGCCGACACTAGCACAAAGCTAGGTAGAGCTACAACATGCACCCATGGGGCTAGCCTCCCCAGGGTCCGATTGTAGGTGCCCCAGATCGATGAGCCGCTCCCAAGGATGGGCCTGCCACATTTATCCCTCATGCGTGCCATTCGTCGGATCTGAGAGAAACAAAATTAAGTGCCTCGCCGTCACACAGCCTTCTAGCAGCGACAACGTGCCATGGGGAGAGGGTGAAGGCAAGCTCGAGCGGAGGCCGGATGCTGCAGGGACCTGGTACTGGGAGCTCGGCGCCTCGGCCAGATCCTCACTTTGACGGTTATTAAGTTCGGTGAGCATACAGGAAAAAGTTTAAGGGACTCTGATACACTCTCTTACTATCTTCTTAGGACACGGCACGCGAGCATTGAGCATGGCGATATCATATATGGCATATTGGCATGAACGTACCTTGTGTTGCGAGGACGGGAGATAGCGTCTTCCATGAGCGTGCACTAGCTGCGAGCTCGAGCAGCAGGGGTGGGAGCTGTCTTGCTCCAAAACTGATCGGTCTGGGCAGATATATGTGGTTAGAGAAGAACAGAGAATGAACACGCACCTCGTCGACGATGATATATTTCGAAAGTTTGGAGGTTAGCAGTGTTAATCAGTCGACCATCACGTGAACTAGCTAGGACAAACGATAAGATCGTGGATTTGTGGAACACTGGAACGTGATACACATGCCAACAGTTCCGTGGCTTGTGACTTGTGTGGTCTCCGTTCTGTCCACCAGCAGACATCGAATTGACGGTTGCCAAAACCTGTCCTTCACGATTCCTTCCGCCCAGTGAAAAAAACATGCGGCAGAGCTATACATGAACGTGACAGCCCAAGCTCACAGATATCCCATATCGTACTGTTTTCGAAAACGCTCATATTAGCCCAAGCTCACAGATATCCCATCCCGTACTGTTTTCAAAAACGCTCTCTCAACTTTAACTAGATTTATAAAAAATACGTGCAATATTATTTGTATCTCTAAATAAGTTTGTTATAAAAGTATATTAAACGATCTATGTATGTTATTCTTTTATATATGTAAATGGTCAGAGTTAAAAAAAATGACTTCTCGAGAAGCGAGAATAACTTCTATTTTAGGATAAAGGGTGTAACAATCAACCCATTCATGTCACACACCGTGCATTCGTCGAACTTCTCATGTACTCCCTCCATCCAAAAAGAGTGTCGTTTTTTACTTTCAGACATCTTGTTTGATCATCCGTCTTATTTAATTTTTTTTTCTATAAGTATTATATATTTTGTTATGACTTATTTTATTTTAATAATGATTTATTTATTTTATAATTTACATAAAATTTTTAAATAAGACGAACGGTCAAACACGATGTTTGAAAGTAAAAAACGTCACTCTTTTTGGAACGGAGGGAGTACAGCTAGAGGAACCCTGCCGCAGCACACTAGAGAATGATTGAACAAACTGGTGTTTACATCCAGGGGCTAAAGTTTAGAGGTGTCATATTGGGATGTCACGTGGGAGTGTTCGGATAGTAATAATAAAACAAATTATAGAAGTCATCAGTAATCCGCGAGACGAATTTATTAAGCCTAAGTAATCCGACATTAGCACATGCTACTGTAGCTGTACTGTAGCACCACATTGTCAAATCATGGACTAATTAGGCTTAAAAATTCATCTCGTAAATTAGTCACAAGTTATGCAATTAGTTATTTTTTAGTCTATATTTAATACTCCATACATGTGTCCAAACATCTGATGTGATAAGAACTAAAGTTTAGGAGTCTAGTCCCTATCACATTGGATGTTTGGACACATGTATGGAGTATTAAATATAGACTAATTATGAAACTAAATGCACATATTAAGGCTAATTTGCGAGACGAATGTTTTTAAGCCTAATTAATCCATGATTTGACAATATGGTGCTACAGTAAATATGTACTGATAACGGATTAATTAGGCTTAATAAATTCGTCTCGCGGATTACTGAGGACTTGTGTAATTTGTTTTATTATTACTATCCGAACACTCCACATGTGACACCCGATGTGACATGTCTAAACTTTAGCTCCTGGATTTAAACACCCCCACTTATTGCACCATCGGAAAAACAAGTTACCGCAACATCACAAAACACTTCTCGATCTCTATTTCTGTCTGGATCAAAACAAAACAGTAACATCCATATAAAATGTAATTGTAACAAAATCAACATATATTTTTTAAAATTACATAGTGCAACACAGACGCTCACAACGCATGCACACTCACCCCTATGAATGCAAGCACAAAAACTCTACCACTATGAGCATCTTCGAAGACTAGGCTAGCAAATCCTCGAGATTGAGATTGACGAAGTCACCACAGACGCCTAACTATTGACAGGAATGTCGCCTACCACTGAATGCACAACGCCGTTAAATATTTGCTCCTACGGGGAGTCGAACCTAGGACCTGAAGTGCTACTCGGACCCTTGTAACGTCTAGGCTACATGCCATTTCGCAGCAAAATCAACTTATTGTCTGAGACATCTAGTTATAATTGCTACAAAATAAAACAAATGCATATAGATACACATCTCCATCTCGATAAAAACATATCAAAATCCATTTATTATGCAGTGCAACATCACAAAAAAAATCGTGGCAACAAAATCGACTTGATGAACGGCTGACTTTAACCAAGCTACCAAACAATGTCTACAATTGTAGTAGGTGGCAGCTATGGCTATTATAAGTTCATTTGGGAGAATTGTGCCCTTTCCAAAAGTTAAGTTTTTCGGCTGGCTACTGTGGCAGAATCGTCCGAAATAACATACTTACGGAGACGCTTGTCTTCCACTAGACATTAAGCACCTCAAGGTGAGCTACATCAGTCAGTTCCATCGAGCACACCCCATGGGAGAACCCGAAAATCCATATTTTTCCATCAGGATCACAAATGAGAGAATAAATCTTACAACATTTTAGCTATTTTTTACATCACTTTTCATGCAACATCAGAGTATAATATTTATTGTTTATAACAACAGAATATAATCATGTTATCAGAGTCTCAGCGGAAATAAAATCATTTAATGATAAGTTAAACATTAACATGATGATCCATTATATATATCATAGTAGGTTATAAGTTTTTTCATTGTAAAATATTTTGGGTGAAAGTTTCAAATAAACTCTATATTCGTAACGTTAAGAAAATCATCGCTGAGCCCACCAGGAGGTTTCCACACACAAGTGCCAACTCCACATGTTCATGTCACCTGCAACAGGGTGGAATAAACCCTGAGTACTCAATTGTACTCCGCAAGGCTTACCCGTCAGGAGAAAAGAAAAGACTCCAAGGATATGCAAGGCTATCTGACTCGTGAGTTATTGCATCTGCAGGAAGCATTACTAAAAGTGCGTCCTTATATTCAATTTCATTAGCAGTCATCATTAGTTCATTAACTAACCATTTTATATAAGCACATGTGCTACTTTTAAGCATGTGGTAAGCAATCAGACCATTTTATCATCTTTTATATTTCAGTTCTTACTACGGTGCTAGATCGTCGACAAGTCGTACCTGATTACCCAGCGATTCACGAATCAATGTGCCTAGCTGGGTATCCTGAAACACACGTCCCGCTTGTACCCCAGACACAAACAGGACCAACCCACCACTCTTCTATCAAGGGGTCCAGGTCTCCGTCCAAATTTGGACTCCAAGCCCCCACACCTGAGTCCCGGACTCAGTGTGGTGCTTAGACCTCTATCATCTCCGCCTCCAATCAGTCGGTCCGAAAAGAGCCAGAACCCACGACAAGAGAGCAACGAGTCTTCCCTGCTCCCATAAACAAGTATGTGCTCAGGATAATAAATCTATGACCTGACTAGAACCTAATGCAACGGCTGGTCCTTAACCGACATAGACGGAACAAGTGTAACCCGAGCCTCGCTCGAATGCCAACCAAGTCCAGATCTAAAGTACCATTCCGCCCGGTCTCCAATTATCATTCATATATATTTTTTAGGTGATAATAACATAATAGCAATAATAATATCTTTCCTATCTCTCGCGAGTGATAGGCAATCACTCGACTTCTACCGGAGTCCTATAGCATAGCAATCTACACGATCCTGTCATACTAGTAAAATTTATAGGATAAGGATATATATACAAGTGGGTTTCATACTAGTAAAACTCATAGGATAAGGATATACATACAGAGGTGTCTAGGCGACTAGCGGGGCCCTACAGTGGTCTGGCCACGGCAGCAGGCGAAAACAGCGCCGTTCCAACGATGATGAAGTTGTTCCGACGAGCACGAGCGATACCAGAGCAAAAGGAAAAATGATACAGCATCAGGAGCTCACCAAAGACACCGCTACGATGTTGGTTGAGGCAGAAGAAGACTGGGCAGGGCTGGCCACATGTGAGCCGTCGGGGCGGCGGTGCTCCGGGATGAACATCAGCGCATCACCACGTCTCCGGCGAGCGCCCTGGCCAAATAGGGTGAGCACCGAGCAGAGAAAGTCAAGACAAACTCGGGGACCGAGCAATTGAACTTGAAGGCCTTACCCCCAACTCTACCGTCACGGCGGCGTGCATGACCGACGTCGAGCAAGACGTCCAACCGCCGGCCGGAGGAGCTTGTTTACGCCTTGATGCGGGTCAGGCTGCTAGCTAGCTTCTATGTCTAGTCGCTGAAGCGCTGGAGCGAAGTGAGAGGTGTTAAGATCGCGAAGTAGTGCGATTTCTTCGGTCGGCACGGGCAGATGAGGCAACAGCTCTTCAAGGCTCGGCCTTCTACAGTCGAGGTTGCGTTAATGAAGCGGGTACGTCCGTAGGGGCGGGGCTCAGAGAGAGAGCGTCGTGGAGCGCCGGGATGGGATAGCTCGACCCTGGCGGAACGCGAACGGCGGCGGCAGGGGCAGCGGTGCAGCGAGACAAGCGTTGATTGCTCGGCATGCAGGGTAGCGTCAGCTCTCCCTCTATGCACAGCAAGGAAATAAATTGGACGTCCTGCACACTCTCCCCTTTCTCCTTCGTGACCGGCTGAGGGGTAGGCAGGCAGCAGCAGCTTTGATTGCTCGACGTGCAAGGCAGCAGCATCTCTCTCTCTCTCTCTCTCTCTCTCTCTCTCTCTCTCAGTCTAGATCAGAGCAGCACATGCACCAGCGGCCAGCAACAACGTGTGGTGCAGTGCGTGTGAGTGTGCAACTCTCTTTTTTTTCTTTTTTTTACTAGATATATATGTAATTATAAATATGCCATCGTTACTTTCACTAATCTATGTACACATATGCATATACCTATTGTATGTTTATGTATATATATATATTTATCTATAGAGATTTACTCGGAAAGAAATAAGTTTGTACACTACTTTAATTAATATAGTAGCATGCTTATCAAAATAAAACACGTGAGTGTATATATACATATATATATTTCTATTGATTTACTAATTTAGACAA